TTCGAGCTGTGACAGCTCTTGGTAACTGCCCTGAGCTATTTCTAGTTGTCCTATGCCCAAATTCGTATCGTGATCGCCAACTGGACGTCTGAGAGAGATCCCACGAACAAACTCTCGGGTACGGAAGTACTCGACAATTTGATTTAGATTTTCGAATACCGTTTGATTCACAACAAAGATACGTCCATCACGTTTCAGTCGATAGTGCCAGATCTCCCCATCTACCCTGAATGAAAGTACCGTCACAGAGAAGGTAAGCAAACCAGCCCGTTTGGCCCTTCTGCTGGATGCATTTCCTTGTTCTGCAATTCTGTTTAAGGGCCTCATAATCCCACTCAGGGAAAGTACGTAGGGAGTCGCTTCTAAATCCCAGGTGGAAGACACTTCCTTGTTAATATGTGGAAGACATTGGACGAATATATGAATCAACTGGTAAAGCACATCATACTGTCACAGTTGCACGGCTGCCCTATGTACTACGTATAAAGAGCTTCCACCTGGGATTCTGAAGCGACTCCCCACGTAATTTCCCTGAGTGGGATTAAGAGGCCCTTAAACAGAATCACAGAATAAGCAAATGCATCCAGCAGAAGGGCCGAAAGGGCTGATTTGCTTACCTCGTCACAGAGAAAGAAGTGTCAAAGAAAAAGTTCTTTCTCTTGTTTATGGGCTAATATCATTCCAAATTGCCAACACTGCCACCTTTCGCTCACCTGATTGACAAGACGAAGACGCTTTTGTCAGTACTCGAGTATCTCAGCAGAAATGCCCCATCTTCTGGTACTTGACTCAGAAGGGCTTCTGCTTTCGCTTTGTCAGCTGTCGGCCAAAACCACCTAAAGAATCCCATTCTACCTAGTTTTCTGCGGACTAGGAATAGGTTTAATATCCTACAAGTAATAAGCTAGTAAATAAAGGACTCTTCGAATACTTACGGCTGATTAAGATGAGGTTGCGGTTGAGGACATGGAGTGGTGAGAATCATTTTGAACGTTGGAGTGGTGAGATAGTTACGAGTATAGTACGATACCAGCTCGTACAGCGTGTCGCAAATTTTATTTTCCATAAAGTAGTACTTCTTCTCTTCTGAAATTACCAGAACTCGCTCATGGCGTCGTATATTATTCCAAAAACTCTTGAAGGACATAGATTCCAGATCATAAATAACCTATGGCTATCAATAGGTTCGTATTGTAAGGCAGGAACACCTTGATGCCACAGTTCACGGATAGGCACACTTGGGACGTCTGGGGAGCAGATCACATCAAAAAAGCCAGTGAACCGCCGCCAATTATATCACTAAAGGTGCCCGACGAGTTCGCGCCATGCCGAGTGTTATGTCACACAGTGACCACGTTTGTGCATAGTAATGCTCTGGAGCCCGAGAAATATTAGGAATAGCAGAGTCGGACCAGGAAAGCCTCTTGTCGATAGTTTTCCACCTTGATGTTCTATGTAGTACTTTCTAAAGGTTATTCGTCCCGTATAAAAATCAATTCGTGGAATCGTGGCAGTAAAGTTACATGTGACAATCCATCTCCCCTGACCGCACCTCACTCATACACACCGACCTGTCTGGCAAGAACATACAGGTAGTTAAAAATGTACGCTCATTCTGCACTCGAAGGAAGTCTCGAGTTCAAACCCTGCCGAGGCAAAGATTGCGTTCTGAAAAGAAAGCAACACCAGTGCCCCCGTGGCAGCAGTACCGCTACCAGGTTGACAGACCGGCTGATGGAGGACCCTCACAAAAGAACCCTGCCGGGTAAGGTCTTCGGGCATCGACCCGAGATTCGAGCCCGTGACCTTGCGTGCGCCAACTTCCACTACACCACGAAACAACCTCATAAATAATAGTTTAGAGTTGTATAAGTATAAGCAGTAACAGAAACTTACTATCAACAATTCTTGTCTTGATTCGTACATGATGAACTTTCTCGTCATGAAGAATTGTCAGTGAATAATCACCAATAAAAAGATTTGAATCTCTGACCATAAACAACCCGTTTCCCTTTGCTTTATGCTGTAATATTCGCTCTTTCGCTTCCTGAAATTCATTGTTACCGTTGGTGTGGGAAGATCTCAAGTAATATTTGAAAATCATTGAAAATACTAAGGAGAAAACCAGCCGATATTCATGGCACTGGTACTTTGAGGCTAAACATACATCGCGTTCACAATGCCCATGAAACCATTCTTCCGTGATGTGCTGCTCCTCGGGTCGAATACCGAATCCAGCAAACGGTTCGTCCTAAAGAAAATCATGAATTAAAAAGGAACCGCATACCCTGAATTAAACAATTTCTGAGGATGAATGCGCCATGAACGTTATTCCTGCCCAGAATTGTAGAAGCGTCCGGACAAATATACATCCTGACTAACTGAATCGAACAGTGAGCTAGATCCGCTTACCAAGTACATGAATGCTGTTCCATCGATCCCTCTACCTACAGGTAGATGGTCTGGTCCCACTTGGACTGAAGTAGCACTTGATCCTCACATGTTTCCCTCCCATCACAGAGAGTAAGACAGGATTATGAGGAATCATACATCAAAAGCAAGGGACGGGCGACTGAAGTCGAAAAAAGATCCGAAAGTCACTTAGATAAGAAGGAAGAAAGGAATACTGATAAAGGGTTACAAAAAAATGGAGGTGGTCATCCCCGTCCAACGACTGCCCAGGTCCTTGAGCACCACTTTCACTCTCCCAAGCTAGTTTTGTATAAACTGAAAAAGTTGGAAGAGACGGGAGGTGTGGTTGGTCGGAATAGGTGTCGAGCCGGGATTGATAGGTAAACGGTAAGTACGGTAACGGCTTCAGCGGCTACTTCCCACCTCCGTCGTATGAATACACAGGTAGGGTGGAAGGGTACGGCGCGTCCTTACCTCTTTCTCATCGTCTCCCATTATACTTATGGTATCATCTTTGTCATCCTTCATAGGTGAATCATCGCATGACTCAAGTAAATAGCAAATTCTATCAGGAAATAGCACGAAGACATGGGGCAACCATTCCTAAAAAGATTATTTCCTCAAAAAGATAACCAGATAGAAACGTTTTAAAGATCTCACGTGTCGAACTCCATCTTTCAGCGAGAGAACACCTTTTTTGATACATTCTCGAGACAGAATATCAGTATCTTGGACTATAGAAAACCGAAAGAAGTACAATTAATCAGAACAATCAGCTCAGAAGACATCAAGACTTACACTCATCTGTGCTGGTGACAAAAGTGGCCAGATCTTCATTTTCTATCGGTAACTTCTTATGCTTGAGGATGATCCAAAGAAAAAGTTCTTTCTCTTGTTTATGGGCTAANAAAACAATCAGCTCAGAAGACATCAAGACTTACACTCATCTGTGCTGGTGACAAAAGTGGCCAGATCTTCATTTTCTATCGGTAACTTCTTATGCTTGAGGATGATCTTCTTCTTAAGTGCTGCTGGAGAAGGCAACTGTGTTTCTGAGGCATTAATCTGAAAATATCGGAAGTTCAAGAAACATATCAGTCAACCAATTTCTGTTGAGTAAGCCCCGCACGAAAATATGTAGAGTACCGGTTGAACCAGCAGATCATCGCCGAGAATCTCCTTGATTTCCTGGGCCAGTAATCGTTGGGCCGGCACCGAACAGTTGTCCTCAATGGAAAGTATGACCGGATACCTGAAGCACGAAGCTGTGACTACATGAAAGAGGATTTTCAAGGGTCGCGTCCGTTCTGGACCACATTAACACTTGAATAACAAGCTACATACGCTCCAACCCGATGGTACAAAGTAGATGGAGGACTTCAAATCTCAACAAAGGACTGGTACACTGGGAAGCCGTAGTGTCAATCAAAAGATAGATACCCAAGGTCTGGTTGCGATGGTTAACCTCAGACATTGGTTCGCCATCGGAAAATACAAGAGTTCAAGCTCTTAGACTAATGGTCATTTCACTATTTCAAACCTTCCATAATTCTGGGTGACCCATTTTCCCACGGGACCACCCTGCTACGAAATATTCCCTTCTCGGGCGGGTGGAATAGTGGTAACTCCGAGCCTCAAATATACAAATCCAATCGATGGACTCTTGCTACCGTAAATTTAGAGGTAACAATAAGTAATTAAAAATGATAAATGTTGATACTTACACGCTGGTTATGAAAGCGTAGTGCTTGATGACGCTAAGTACATCGCGGAGGAGCAACTTAGATGTCATCGTATAGCCATGGTAAATGACAATATCGAGGAACTCCTGCGAATTCGCTTTACGTTGGCCATCCCAGCAGTCCACTGAAAACACCATAGCGGTTAGGCGAATTTCCTAGAATGCCCAGCAAACCCCTCTCAGAGGGAGTATACTTGGCGTCAAGCATTTATTATTCATATTTGGATGCGCCATGAATTGAACTTTCAGCCCGAATTCTCACATATATAAGCTGTTTACTTATGCCTCAGTAGAGTATAGAACATTTGATTGAAAATTTCATGCAAATTCTAGGGCGACCCACAAAAGTATAATGCCCTTCTATCCATCTAGGGCCCACAAACGGGCTCTCTTTTCGGAGAGGGACAAACGCACCAACTCAAACATCAGCTGAAATTTCTGGAAATGTAGAACCGGTACGTTTTAAGACTTTGCAATTTTTTTACTAAGGTCACAATGCATGGCGCATCCTTTCAGAGCATATTAACAGAAATGACACTCACATTCAATACACCGACATCCCATCAATAACGCTTGAGCATAGGAATCCAGGGAAGACTCTGAACGTAGTTGATCACCAGTAAGATACCTGAACAAAAGAGAAATATTATCCGATTCGGGACAGAATGCCCAACCCTTCTGGGATCTTTTTCCAAGCCCAATAAACACCCTAATCTTCTACGGGTGGAGAACAGAAAATCACAACTTTTCTGAACCCACACATTTCCAAACCCACCCCTTTCAATAGTCGTTTTACCGGAGAACGAACTTACGTATTGTGACTGCTGGCAATCCAGTAATGTGAGAGTGGCCTTGTCATATCTTGAATGACTTTATCGTTCATCGAATCCCATAATGAATTTTCGCGAGAAAACAGGAAATCACAAAACTGAAAATATTCCCAAATAGGTCCCAAGGTGTGTCGTTACTACTGTGAACGGGCTAAGCTGTGGAGCACAGCCCAGGCTAGCTCGGTAAACGCAGCCCGGTTGCGGAGAACAATATCAAATAAATCTGAACAAAATAAAATAATAAAAAATAAAATAGTAATATAAATAAAATAGCAAAAAAAAAATGCCCCGGACCAGCCATGAAAGGTAAATATTTCCCAAATGGCATTTAGATAGTATAGGGCGTAGCAAGATTATGGTAGCAATGGCAACTTCTTTTCAAATAAGAAAAAAAA